ATATATTCTCTTTTTCATTGACTCGATTCAAAATGAATATTAATAAAGTCATCATTTGAATTATTTTTTATATAAATCACCTATTTGTTTTGTTGATTTTTCCTCTATGAATTATTATCGGCACTTTTATTTTCTCTAAGACATCAGCAACGACTAGCGCCTTATGTATTATATGGGTATATGTGCTCATCGTCTCTCTTCATTTTTTAAGCGGTCTCGCTGAAGGGTTGTTTGAAGTAAACGGATGATGACAACGTTGTATGGTATTCGTTTGTCGTCACCTTTCTGATAACATCGATGTCTGTTTTTTTCAAGATAAAAAGATAGACAATAAATATTTATAATGAAATAATTCACTGCCGAAAGTCTGATTTTTATCGGAAATCACTGATCAAAGGATTGAACTTTCATCGACTAATGATTAGTATCATTAGGCATGACACAGACATTACAAACATTATCTGATGAAGACAAAGATAACATAAAAACCTTTGGCAAATAAACTGGATGTGAGAATCATCTAATAAACTTATTTGTTTCATATTGTTAACAATAAAAAAATTCAGCAATTTGTTTTGAACCGATAATCGAACTGTTAGCTCGAAATATCTTAGAATGTGCAAATCAGTGTTATTGAACTGCCAATCGAATATCGGTCAACAGAATATGTACTTATGATTGTGAAATAAATCAAGAAATGAAACATATTTACTCTCTCCAGCCATATATATATCTCAAATTTCTCTTTAAACTCTATCATAAGGTCCACTATCAATAAATGTGAAGACTATACTTTTTTGTTGAGAAAAGTTTTTCTGATGTTCAAAAATAAATGGAGGATTATATAGACTCTTTTTAGATTCGGTCAAGTACTGGATGCTGGAACCCACGAAAGATGGTTCTGTGCAAGAAAAAAGTATTTCGGAGAGTTTTAGAATTTTTTTGTATGCGAAACCATTTTTAATGGATACTATCATTGAGTATTCGAGAAAGCCTGAAAAGATTCTGCAATCTCCTTTTTTTCAAAATAGAGAACTTTTTTCTAACAGATACCACTGTATTATATTATGAATTACTTACACTAAGTTTATAGTAACAGATTTTGATTAAAAAAAAATATCATTTACAAAAGTTTACATATAAAAAAATTATTAGCAACAGTCTTTATGTGACTTCGTAATTTCAATGCACCACTGTATGCATTATTTACTTAAAATATATATAAAAGTTTTAAAGTTTCCTTTAATTATATAAAATTATTCTGATGAGCTGAGCCATCAAAATTGAAGGACAGGAGAAGCCAGTACTTGGCATAGAGTTTTCACAATCTATAAGATTGGTTATAACGATAAAATCTTTTCAACACGTCAGCGTATATCTTCAAAGAGAAAATGAAACAATCCAGAACCGATCCCTGATTGGTTGAAATAAGGGGTTGATAATTAACGGCTCACCAAGAGCAGATAAAGAAAATTGATCATACTGATAAGCTGATGTACGATGAACAGAACAGCGATGCTCTCATTAGTAATTCATCATTCGTTCGACGAGTTCATCTGTGATCAGTTCCTTTTATTATACTACTATTTGAGTTCAATTGTAATCAATATCAAGACTCTTGATTAGCTTATTATATTTCTGGTATGTATTCTATATAGTCATCAGCACTACACTGAATATTTGTATTTATTTAAGGTCTTGGCCAGTGATCACGTTGACACTTCTAATATATTACGTACATTCTTAATCTGAGGTAAGTATAATCTATAATACGATGTAAACCGATCCGTTGTGGAAACTCAGCCGTTTTGGCATCTTTTTATTAATCTTTGTGTGTGTGTAAATAATATATGTCATTCTGCTCATGTGAAAAATTTTCATCTCTAAACGCGTCCAAAAACGCGTGTCTATCGCATTTAAAATTCGTTTACAAGCGTTTATCAGAGGAAAATGTGTGGATTTGGACGCACTTTTGTCGAAGAAACGCTATAAACGCATCTAAAATGAAATATCTGATGTGTGCAGATGCATTCCAAACGAAAAGTGGGATGAAACACAGCTACACGCGTCAGATGTTCCATTTTAGATGCATTCAAATGCGTTGACTCTGCGTTTCGTATTTCCATGGATATAGCATAAGTGTCCTATTCTGTTAATTTTTATCATCTAATTCTTTTACAAATTGTAATTTCACTTTAGTGATCCTATATGAATTATTAAACTTTATTGTAAGTCGATAACATTCAATAGGTGAATATGTAACAGTGACCTGCTACATTTTTTCTTAGACTTTTCTCATAGATATTTTATTTCATCGTTACGATCATTTTATCTTTCAATCGTCTATTCTTCTAAATTTCATCGAAAATACTTTATCGATAATAATCAACTGATTAGTTTTAACTTTTGTTCAAACTTTAAATTTATTGAAATGCTTGCGTTTGATTTTAGTAAATTCTAATATGGAGCATAGATTGGTTTTAAATAATCGAACTGACACTGAGATAACTGACCAAGATATGTATGGCATATTTCATCAACGTTTAAAATATTTTAAATTTCGTCGTGTTCCAACAAAGACAGGCAAAGCAATTTTCTACCTTTTTTTTCATAAAGAAGAAGATACATACACTGCTCTTCGAGCAGCTAAGGCGATTAAAGAGATATCGCTCGTTAGATACCGTCCAACGAATCCTATTGATGACGAGCTACCGTTTCGACCATTTCCACCAAAACGTATAATCAATATTTGTCGCTACGCATTCAGAAGATATCTGAATAGATTTGACACTGTGGTAAGAAAACAGACTTTTTTTTATCCACATAAGACAATATTTTTTCGTGTAGCTCCTCTTCAAAATATTTATTCGTCGTCTGTCAGAACAAATAATGGCACAGCATATAAAAATTCCTAATGGTTTGTTTTTTTCTATTTTTCACAGATGGATATGAATTATTTCTGTTTTTTTTCTCATTGTAGTATATGAACGAGTTGATAAACTACACACGTGGTGGTGGATGAACGAACTATTTTCAGTCAAAGACGATTATTCTGTACAAAAACTTTTAGATGTGTTTTTCAGTTAGACTCTTTTCTATCTTATTAAGTTACTTATTGCTGTATTAAACTATTGAGCATGATTTTATTCGTTTGATTTGCGCTGTTAATAAGCGATGATGTCTTTTGTACGAGTGTTTTATATATGGTAAAAGTGTGATTGTATTGTACTTTGATATGTTCTACTAATTAAATATAGCTTTATAGTGAAAACATACGATAAATAAATTATTGGTCAATTAGTGTAACTGTCTAAATAATATTTTAATATATGGTAAAAACACTACTTTAAATAAAAGTAAAAGTGATCGTTTTTTCTTTAGAATGATTTAAAAAAATCTCGACTATGTCAGAGTTTTGGCCATGCCGTTCGTGCTAATTACAGTTGTCAATTCTTTCATTTTCAAATTTTCGGCTGTCAGGTGTGTTTATATGATCACAAGAGATAATTATCAGAGATAAAAAAAAAGGCATTAGTTTCTCTTCTTAGAAAAGGTGGTAACGTTTTGTTGTTTTATCTTAAACCGTTTAATATAAATATATGCTTTGTTTATGAATAAGCTGCACATTGACTTTTCAATTATCATTTCGGTTATAATCTCATTTGAGTAGGTTGCCTGGTAGTAAATAATTGGTACGGAGTTTGTATGTATAGTCAACAATTCCACTGATGATTAGTTACTGAGAAACTCTGCTGAATCCCTCCATGAACTTCTTCTTTGTATCCACTCTTCATGTCTATTTTTAGATACCAACAAACACGTACTTGGATTACAGAGAAAATAAAATTTTCAAAATGTCTCAACGTAAACCTATTATGATCAATACTAATCAGGTATCAGTATCAAAATCTTTTCTTTCGTTAATTAACACATGCGTATAACTATAGTTGAACAATCCAATATATATTACAATACCAATGCCAAAGATTATCTTCCAAATACCATCTATTAGAATGATACTTGCGCATGAATTTGGCAATGAACATCGTAGTGGTTCAAACAACAGATGCATTCATTGTGCTCATCTACAATGCAAAGAAGGTGAAGTTGAAGAAGACGATATTGAAGTAGTAGTTGACGAAGAAGACATGATAAAAGAAGAAATTGAAGTCGAAGAAATTAAACAAGACGAAATTAGAGAAAAAATGATTTTTCAATATCCTCTTAACGAACAAGATGATTCTGACAAATATATACTTCCTCACTATGTAAATGTTAATGAATCGCCGTTGTCACCTTTATTGGAAGCGACAATAAAAGATGAAATCTATGACTGGAAATAGTTTCCGGTCGACAAGGCTGATGAAAAATGCATGGGAGTGGAACCCATTATTTCATATTTAAAACATGGAATGACAAAAATCAATAACTATGTACACATGTATAACATTATTAAAAATTGAAAAAATTTTTGTGTCATATTAACTAACTGCGTTCTGCATGCATAGATCTTTATTAATGTTTAAAAAATAAATGATTCGAAGTGATGTAACTATAAAAAAGGGGATATTAAACAGCTTGTGCCATCACTGACTCTAAGCCAGAGTCTTTTAATCTATATGTGATGACAAAAAGGAAAGTGTTGCGTATGATTTTATAATCAGAAAAAAAATTCTTTTCTTAAAATTGATGATATCCACTTTCAAGTGAATCTCTTAAATTGATTTTTTTTGAAACATGGGTTCCTAATGGCTTATCATTGATTTCTTTTCTCTACAAACGCGTAAAAGTGAGTTTCGAGTGACGAAACCAATGGTATTAAATTCTCTTTTCAACCAGTTTTTATTTGACCAATTTCATGTGCATCATTGCCCTCAAGATAGCTATTTGTATTTATTTGCATCAATATTGATTGATTTATCTGATAACTATCATTTGTTTTCAAACACTTCTAGATATATCTTATGATTGGTCTGTAATATCTATTAAATATTGACTGATTATGACGGAAAATACAGTTGTTGAGCTTAATCAAGATATTGGATGTTATCTACTAAGATTTATTGATGGAATAGACGCGGTTAATTTGATCGAAGCAGTGAACAATAGTCGACAATTTTGGTCAGTTGCAAAAACATCCAATCATCATTTTATTGAGATGATTAAGACGTTCCGTGGTCATCACAGAATTCTACTACCACGTGCACTATTTGAAGACTTCACAGATGAATATGAAATCGACGATGAGCAACTTATCGTAGTTTCAAAGCGTTATTCTGATGTCATTGAGCCATCTGAACGTTTATATATTCATCCATGCTTTAGTGCTGAAGGTTTTACGAAATTGTGTGAAGTCTATAAGGCTCCTCTTTTCAACTGTTATTCTCGGCTCTTACCATTGAACACCATTTGTTACAATTACAATGCAGATTTTGGACTTCTTGATTATGAGTGGTATGGTCGTACAATCGGGTCGGAACGCATGTTAAATGACCATGAAAAAAATTTGTTCAAAGGTAAACAATAAAGAATAAAAAATATGACATCTAAGGGTCGATAAATATGATTCATTTTAGTTAATACGTATTTTAATAAGAATGAAGATCGAAATTGTTGCTCGAGAATGACATTTGTGCATACAATGAACGAATTTAAACAGAATTTTTTAACTCGTTTTTCATCGGATGAATGGCTAGGAGCAATAGACTTCTCAAAATGGGTCATTGTTGGAGGATGTGTATTAAATGCCTTATGTCGATCACCGTTTCCGGATACCAAACAACAAGACATCAACTTGATGTACTATGTAAATGATATATTCGATTTTAAGAAATCAATAGATATCACTGTCAATAATCTTAATAAAATGGTTTCACAAGGTTCACGGAAAGAAATCAAAGTGGAGAAAATACCAGGCACACCTTGTTACAATGTGTTTCTACCCTGCCATGTCCGACTTAACTTCACTTGGACAGATATAGGAAATTCAAAAAATCCAGTTTCACATATCCTTCACAATTTTGATATGGATATTTGTCAAGTAGCCTTTACTGGTAAATCTTTGTCTTTTAATCGCTTCTTCATTACGTATATGACCTTTTTTTTAGGAGATAAAATCGTTTCAACATTTCCATTTTTGCAAGCTCTTGCGACAAAATCGTTTATTGTTTATAGTCTACATGCACGAAGTCCAAAGCATTTATGCACACGTATAGCAAAATATTGTAACAGAGGATTCAATCTTCTAGAACCCCTTGATTTCGATGGTGATTTTGATTCATTGATGATACAAGAAGAAGTTCCATTGTATCGAGTTGAACATCAACAGTACATTGATGATGACGGTGAGATTCAATTTGCTACAAAAGAATTTCACCGATCATTTCTAAATAATGTTGATACTTTTCGGCTTCAAGAGAAATTCATGTGTATGGTTTGTCCCCAATTATTACAATATGCTTAAATAATACATCTCGAACATATATCAAATGAATGATATCGATCAAAACTTATATCATGTCGAATTTTTTATTATTGTCGATATTTTCAAAAATATATTGTCATTTGTAAAGAGCGAAATAGATGAGATGAAAATCAATTATCTGTCAACAAGTATTTTTTCATAGTCATGCTCTCAATTGTGTTTTCGTTGTTTGATGGATCATTATCCATATGATGGTCAACCAGATTCGATTTGAAAAAACTTGTGTTGGTTTTCTTATACTAAATATATATATAACTATTGATAATTATATTAGCTTTTATATATTCGAATAAAATGTTTTGGAAATTGTAATCTATCTTTAGAATTTAGACCATAATATATATTTATTGTAGATTTTACTAACATAAACATTTACATCTACCTTCAAGTTTATTCATTCGAAATGTCTCAATCGTCAAGTAAATATCATGTTGAACCAATTTTTCAAATTCATATTCTATCATATTCCTTTACACGATAGATTCAACAATGAACACGAATATTTTCTCAGACTTATCGTCTATTATAGCTGATAATAAGGTAAGAACTAACGATATCATAATAACATAATAATTCTATTAATTTGACAACAGGCAACTCCAACTGGAACAGAACGAGGAAAGAAAAGAGCTGCTCCTCTAGAACCTGAAGGTCAAGTAAAAAAGAGTGTGAGTGATCATCATTCATACGACGAACGAGTGGTAAATGTTACTTCAAAATCTATTGATCAGCCAAAATTCGTCAGTGCGGGTGAAATAGCTGCTAAAGCTCGTGCAAACGTTCAAATGATGTCTGAACTTTCTGATGAAGAATTGCTTGAAATGGCTATTAAATTCGAAAAGGAACATCCTCAATAATTTTCTTCAACGATTTGATACAATACAAACTGATCTGTGGACGCATAGTCTTTTTTTGTAGTGTGGTTGTGGTGCTGTAGTATTTAGCTTTTCAGATCATCTTCGTTGTTTTTGTGTTCAACTTATTCACATATTTATTACTAGTATTTATCAATGAGCTTCATTATTAATAAAAATAATTTCAGATTAGTAATGCTGGTTAATAGTGGCTGATGAGCTGATCGTAATGCATAAAGAGTAGTCGATAAACATTTTGGAGTGAAGGTATGGGTGTAGGTGTGATTATGAGGATGGGGTATAGGCGTTCGTTTCATCTATATCTACATCGACACCTTCTCAGTGCACGACCACCAAGATCATTTCCTATTCTTACAAAGTAAATAACTCGACTGATTGTTCCGTCAACACTTCTCTGTCGTTCAAATTTTGGTTGCGAGCTGAGAAATATTGGTTTTACATCATCATAAATAATTCACGCTTTTATAATCATGGCCGTCAATCAACTAGTAAAATAACAGACACGTCTATTTTTAATAAGATAACTATTGTAATCATTTTAGTTTTCACATTGATTATTCTGTTCCAGCGTTGGTTTTAATGTGTCACTTTTTCTTTAAGTCTTGCTATTGTATTCATAAAAAATAAGAAAGTAAAGGAAGCCGAAAACAGAATTTCCTGTGTGAATTATCATTTGACCTTACTTTATACATGTAAAGAAAACAAAGCTCTAACCAACCAACATCCATCTCTTCCTTTTGTATCAAAATCTCTCTTGTATTTTTCATCTCGTTCATTACTTCTTCTTTCGCTCATTTATTGTAGATATTCTAAGCAATCATCTTCACTCTCTTATATAAATAGTGTTAATCAAAACAAAATTAGCTACGAACATCACAAGTACATAATTCAACATCGGTCATGAAATACTGCATCATAGTCATCCCGCTTCTTCTTACTCTACTCGGTCTACGTCTTCACGCGTACTTGAATGATACCTTTTCAAAAAAGACTACAATTGCACATCCCGAGACAGGTCTTTTCTTTGACTATATCGGTCTGTACACACCATCTGAAAGAATCATTCATAATTCGGTGATTTTTCCAATGACTACAGCTACATGCCATTTTCTGCCCTTATCAGCTGCGGAAAACATTCCCTCCTGCAATATTACCAGAAAAAGGAGGAAACGCTTCGTCGACATTATCAGTTTAGGTGTTGGAATGGCCAGTCTCGGTATATCTGTAGCAAATTCTATGCAAATCGCAAGTCTTCAAGAACAAGTAGCGGTCGTGGAAAACACTCTATCAAAATTCTCTCACACTATGTACATATATCAGGCACACCTAGTAAAAATTATGTCGAAGCAAATAGAATTTACAGATGAGCTTCAAAAGACACAGAAAGCTATCGATGCAATGATACCTATCTTAGACTCACACGCCGCAGCTATCAATGCTTTAGAAATTGGTTTTGAACAGCTACATGCTCAATTTCAACAATCCTTCCTTTACTTAGCAATGACTAAAATCTTTCGTAACGAACTCACCCTAGATTTTTTGTTGCCAGATGACCTACGTAAGGTGGTATATGAGGTTGCTAAAGAAGGAAGCCTAACATTTCATCATTACCATGGATCAATCCCCCTTGCTCAAATCATTACTAATCTTCTCATTCGTCAGCAGGTAGACTTCGTCTCCAGATCGCAATATACAACTGGGAATTCACAAGAAATCGGTCGTCTCGTCATTACTAATTTTTTCGCCGTTCCACGACAGGATCAAATGCCCTTCTACACCTACAAATTACTGACGATCCCCTTCTTTCATGACAATAAAGCAATCCAACTCGCTCAAATGCCTCGATATTGGGCAATTAATCCAGCAGATAATACCACTATGGAATGGCATAATCCTGAAGAATCTGGGTGCAACCTTCAACTGATGACAACATGCCGTGATACTCCACCTATCCATACGATCTCAAAAGATACTTGCTTCGATCAAATCATAGAAAGGCTTCCGCTATCCAGATGTGAAACAATACCAGTCCCTACTACGAAATATTTTGTTCAACAAGTCAGAGATAACTTTTGGATTACTTCGTCACCTGGACCAATACATTGTATGAAAATTCCAAAGACCGAATATGCCAGTTCCATGCAACATATCTGGAGGAAGAATGAAGAAATAATACTTCCACCTGTTGC